CCTAATTCTGCAACAATCTTTTGCTCTGACATGACACACAGACAATAGGTCCAGTCACGTACAATGCTCGGACACAGCAACCTCAAAATTGGCAAACAATTTGATAGATAGTTGATTGAGAACTTGCTGCCACTTTGCGTATTGATTCTGAAGGGAACCCCGATGTTGACGAGTCATTATAAATGCACTTGGCCCATGGCTTGATCCTACATTAAAGAAACGTTCTGCTTTAACATGTTTACAATAGTTTAAGACATATTAGTAACAAGCAAGCATACAACGACCTACCATTGACAGGGGCATATGTCAGTGTATGTTCCTCACTTAAAAGTCACTGAATCGTAAAAGGAAAACACTTGAATGTATTTTAGCCGCGGACAAACAGCTATGTTTTTTTAAACCCGCTCTCTCCACAAGTGGGAATGCGAATACTTAAAGCATATTTCGTGACAGAAACCCTGATTATATATAGTAGTTGTTTGAATGACATTCCATGTATTTCCAATGATTTATCACAAACCGGCCTAATAATGATATATTAATAGATTCGCAATACCAGATGGATCACAGGGCTTGAGGGGGTATGCTGGTACATTGCCACAGCATCTGATGTACGCTCATTCCACAAATAAATATCGAATGCTTACTGCTAAAATAAAAACATTGGCCCGGAAATACCTTCTCAAGTGAAGGTGACCCAAGCTATATCAAACACATTGATACCCATCACTGTTCACAAATATGACATGGCATTGTGTCTTTTCAGCTTCTGTTTGAAAAGTGAATGACAGCAGGCAGCATTTAATATACATGTGTTGTAGAGTCAGATGTACGATTCCGACTATTATGCCTTGAATATTTCTGACTGCAGTTCGCAAGCAACATTTACTTATTGTGAATAGCAAGTACATGTTACGGGTAGCTGGAGTTGGGAGTTACCTCCGCCTGATCTGTACTCATGATAACCTCCATTGAGTAAATTGTGTGTGAAACTGCCCTCCATGTATATCTTTAAATACATGCAAAGACATGTGACATGGTGGAAGCTGCCTTCGATCTTGTCTCTGTGTGGCCATCTACTGAAACTGTAATGGATTTCAGTGTGGTCAGCTTCTGATCAGTGTGAATCACTTCTGATCTGTAACCGGCAAGAAGGATTCTGTCAAAGGGGTGAACCATGTCACATTAAAGATTATTAATCATCAGACGATGAATAAATAAGTAAAATTGTGAAAGTGACAGCGTATGCTCAATAACATTTGAGGATGTAAACTCATTGAAACAGATGACATGCTGATTGAAGTTGTATTTCAACTTGCTACAGGAGCCTCCATCAAGATACTGCCGTCCAGTGTAGTCCGGATCTTCCTTACCCTGTAGTCACCACTCGTAGTAACAGTCCAGAACCCTCATCAAGCAACTATGTGCAGCTAAACAAATGATTTTACAGTGGTGGAAAATGTGAAATTCCGGTACCCTGATGAGTTTGACAGAAAGCTTGAGACATAAAGAATCTCACCTGAGTATGTCAACACGAGGATTGCCGAGGAGCATTTCCACTTTTTTCAACGAGTGTTGATATAATTAATATCAAAGGACACGAAGGAGCGATTCTTTATTTCTTTTTTCAGTTTGTAGACAATACTAACCAGTGCCCTAAGTGTAAAAAGTACTGCTTACAAATTCAATAGCAGGGCCAACTTGCACAGAGCCCCCTTAGGCAAAGAACATCGTAAATAAAGATCAAAACTTAAGGGAAGGATGACCACCCTCAGTCACAAGAATTTTCGTGAAAATGGCGGCATTTGTCACATTGAATGAAGCTGGGAAAAGAATCCGATCACAAGAGAAAGAATATTTCATGACCGGACTTTGCAACTAGACACGTTATCTGATGACGATGTCATCGCTAGGTACGGAATGCCAAGTGCTGCTCGCCATCTTTGAGATTCTAAAGGTAGTAAGACCCTACATTGAACATTCTATTTAGCATTCCCACAATTATGCTAGAAATACAGTTATTGTAAACGCTTGGTTATCTGAGCATTGGTCCAGGTGTAATCCAGGTATAATAGTCTGACAGCTGTGCATGAAACAGGCCGTGAAATATGTTACTAGCAGTTTGTGAAATCGGCCTAGAAACAGCTGCAGAGTAGGAACTACAAGAAGAGCAATCTTCTTTGTATCTTGAAGTTAGATGTTCAGTTCATGTTTTATTTTCAAATTTTGAATTCATGTTGGAATGAAGAAAGAAGAAGCATGATTGCCACCTAAAGTTCATAGATGAGGGATCCTTGTCTAAATGAGTACTCTCTTCACAGTTATCGTCACATCAATGGCAGGCAACCTGTTTATCACATGTTCTAGATTCATAGTCATAATGCTGCTCTCAGTGGAGTAGGGATGTCTTTGTATTGCTGAATCCGGAGGATGAGCTCTGCAGGATGACAAGGTGACAAGCGAAAATACGATAACTGAGATATTGCCTGGATCTGAAAGAGCTCAACAGGTCCACCGAACTTGGAATGAAACTGACAAAAATCTGTATGAAGCGGATTTAATTTCGGGCTGCTGGCATGTTAAGTTGGATAAAGCATCCAGAATGCGTACTATCTTCCAGGCCTGCCATGGAAAATGCAGATGGCTCTACTTACCCATACGCAATTAAAATATTTCAGGAGAAACTTACTAAGAATCCTCAGACCCAGTTCGAGTTTTGTCAATTGTTCATGATGTCAAATGTTGTCTTGGATCCACAGTGCATTTCGTTTTGCCAGAAAAGGGGTGGCACTCATGGAATCTCAAACCCAGGTCATAGTCGAGGTGATGGAGCAACATAGGCTGCAATGGAAATAACTAAAAAGTGCAGAGCGTCTGCAAACATATTTGACCAGTGAGCATTAGAAACAAGCCATGTCCAAATAATATTTTGAAGAAGAACCAAAGCTCAAATTCTGTCCACTCTTACAGTGAAACCAGACATTAAGCTCTTCAAAAGAAAAGAATCCTGCTGAACATCTTCATAAAGTACAGCCAATAAAGACAGATAAGAAAGAGTAGAAGCAAGATGTCATTATAGAGAAACTTAAAAGTAGTTTCTTTAAAAGTTTGACTGATAACTGGAACAAAATACTGATGCAATCGACAGAGAGATCAACGTTGAAGTGGAAAGAAAACTATTATTACAGCCTCAACGTGCCAAATGAGAGTATTTACCATAAGATGTGTCTCAGAATGTGGTCACAAAACCAAACAAATTAAGGACAGCTAACAATTACTTTTTTTCCAGGAAATCAGCGTGAAAGTGCTCTCTCACGTAACACTCACATTTAACAAGGTAGACACAATATATATACTCGACAACAAAAGTTCCTGTAACACCAATATTTTAGTGTATTTTTCCAACAAGTAAAGTTTGGTTTTCAATATTGTAGTACATGTATGGAATCAAGTCACAAAAACGCAACTGCTACAGAAAAGCATGCATTCCATGCAAAAGTTGACTTTTATGCAAGCCCCATGCATTTCACTACCCAAGAATGTGCGTTAACGGGTTTCCATATGCATTGCTTAGCATCGTGTTGACAACAACCACTCAGAAAAAACAGAAAAATTACGTAATTATTCAACATTACGAAATGCCACGCCTGTCCGAAAATGAGCATCTGCGAGCCATTGGTATGCTTGAAGCAGGATCGATTCAACGTGATGTTGCAAGACAATTTAATGTCCACAGAAACACCATTTGGTGTTTATGGCAACGTTGGCAACATACGAATGAAGTCAGAGACCATCCTCGGAGTGGCAGGCCACGCGTAACCAATAATCGACAAGACAACTGGAATTGAACAACACACCTACGAAATCGATTCAAGCCAGCAACAGTGACCGCAAGAGTGCATCCCTGGCCTTCGACGAATATCTTCACAAACCGTACGTCGCCGCCTCAGATGTGTAGGGATTTTTGCCAGAACAAACGCCAGTCGTCCCATTTTGACAGGAAACCACCGTCAAGCACGTCTACAGTGGTGCAGCCAGCGTCTACGCTGGACGGCCATGCAGTGGGGACAAATTTTTTACTGACGACTCTCGTTTTCACCTCAGCAACAGCGATGGACGCATTCGAGTGTACCGACGTCGAGGTGAACGTTACGTCGATCATTGTGTCATGGAAGAAGATCGGTTCGGGGGCGGCAGCGTTACGGTATGGGGTCGGATTACAGCAAGACAGAGGACCCGTTTGATAGTGATAGAGGGAAATCTCAATGGACAGCGCTACCGCGACGGGATAAGCGGCCCTGTTGTTCTACCGGTTTTGCCGGCCTCATATTGCTCGACTTGTTCAGGATTCTCTTCAACAAAACAACGTGAATGTCATCCCCTGGCCGGCTCGCTCCCCTGATCTCTCACCAATCGAGCACATGTGGGATGAGATGGACCGGCGCCTTCGACGTCAACCACGTGTTCCACAGACACTCCAGGAACTTCCAAACATGTTCCAGCAGATATGGTAAGATATCCCACAGGACTTTGTGCGACGCCTGCTCCATTCCATGAGACGAAGATGTGTTGCTTGCATCGCAACCAGAGGTGGACACACACGCTTTTGATTTGTAAATTGACATTTTGGCATGTTCATGGTTTTTGTTATGAAATCACGCATTTTCTGAAGTCAGTATTGCAAATTAAACCATCTGAACACTTACAGGAATTGTTTCATATTCGGTAAAAAACATAACTATGCATTAAATCTTATTCAATGTCACAGGAACTTTTGTTGTTCAGTATATTTAACGCACTTTACACCCGACGAATGTTCTGGCCAATGCAGCTTGCGACAAGAACTTCAAGGACAATATAAAGTGACCAAACATGTATTCATAAAATATATTGACTGTGTGATTCTGACTACAACATGAAAATGTGTTGATCAATCACTATCAAACAGTGATAGTATCAGGTGTCCTCACACAACACGAACACAATGCCATTATACCGACCTTTGAAAACACGGGCCCTTGCGGAAACAGATACAGCATACGGTATTTGCAACCAGGACGAAAAAGACGACTGCACACACAACCGACGTTAGTGTAATTGTGCTGATATGCCGCCACTTCGGAAGACCTGACAAGCAAAATATATGAACATTAGTCTCGTAACAACTACTAATTATTATTTGTTGTGAAATAAAGTCAATACTGTCATCTATCCATTATTGTTGACGAATAATTGCTCAGGCGTTTTAGATCACTTCGTGTCATTATCATTTAATAGTGATTCATGTAAACATACTAATGGTATGGCCGGGATGCTTTCAGCAGAGTTTCTTTGTGATCATGGAATGGGTTTATTCAAAAACCAACTTTAAAACATAGACAGATATAGAGTTAAAAGGACACATAAAACTGAAAGTTCTGCATTGCATTTTGAATCAATATTAACCATTAAACATTTGTATTTACAATAAAAATAAATACTCACTGGTGTTAAGATAGCCTGAAGGGCATTAATACTGTCAATACTGTCATGTATACATTCTTTTAAATTATTATTAACTCTTACACATTGTAATAATAATTCAAATAAACACTTACTGGTGCATATTGGTGGAGCGCAATCCTGTGTACAGTTAAGTTCACGTCCTACTCCTGAACCGTTTTCAGAGTCGCAAGTGACGCAGCTCTCAGGACACGGTTCACAGGCTGGACCGAAATGCTGAGGTTCACAGCCTTCAGCACAAGAGCCTGCATCATTACATCTTTGATGTCGGCATCCAGGATTACAGGGAGAAGAACACGTCGGCCCGAACCAGCCATCCACACAACCATGGAGACACTCGGCACTGTGTTTGTGACATCCACCTGTACAATTGTCTGACGTCATACCAGGAAATGGAAGACACTTGTGGACTGACTTAGGGCGGCATGTTTTACTGCAAGTCTCGGCACAGAAGTCCCCGTAGAAGCCAGGAACACATTCACAGCTGGACTCACAGGATCCTGCACAGTTCTCACACGACGTCTCGCAGTTCACTCCATAATGTGTTGGGTCGCACTCGTCACATACTCCTGTCATCCTGCTGCAGTTTCTGCAGTGACTAGGGCACGTCTTGCATCCTGCTCCGTAGAAGGAATCTCTACATCCGGCAAAACAAGCCCCACCCAGCTGGCAGTATTCCCCATCACATCCACCTGTGCACAGCGTACATTCGACTGCCTGGCTGTCACAGGGTCTGTCACAACTTATGCCTTGATATCCGGATACACAGCCATCAGTACACTTGCCGATGCCTCTTCCCTCAACTAGTGTGCATCTGTTGTGTCTGCATGTGGTGCTACATGGCGACCTGCATTTTAGTCCAAAGTATCCCTTGTCACATTGTTGTAAGCAGTTGCCCGCCGTGTCGCAGCCTGAGCAATGCTGGCCCTCTGTACATCCCGCACCTGTCAAACACAAGTAGTATAGGAACTGTTGATATAGGAACTGTTGATATATCCTTTCTGAACATTTCAAATTTACACGTCTGATGAATAAGACAGAGATGTATAAAGTCAGACAATGTTTTCAATGATGAAGCCATCCTCTTTTACTCATCGGGAAGACAAATACATGCACAGACATAAAGACGCATACATCATAGACACACATATCATTCGTAGTATTCTTGAAAATTAAGCATATCATGTGTCATAAGTCTATTTCATATGTTTGCACGTTAAAGGTCATGTATTGTTTGTGTATCTTGAACGTTCATTATAATCATGAATGGGTTCACTTCTCTGTCGTTTCTTATTTAGTTACTGACATACTTTTTCTACAAGAGGAACACATACAAGTTTTAACCTGAATTTCGTCTCCTGCGTACATTTTGTCATTAAGCGTGCAGTTGGGAAACACTCTTAAACGGTTTGGTATATGGGTGTAAATATTTCTTTCATAAATCTTAAATGTCCACATCTAAAACATTTGAAACACATTCTCAAATATAAAGGACTAGCAATGCAAAGGTATTTTTCCATGTGCTAAAGGGACTTATAAAATGTAGTTAGAACATTTTATGAGTAGTGTTAAATGCTGAATCCTGTAATTAATTTACACCAATTTTTAAATGCCCGTGACATAATCTGAAGTGGCCCTCCAACCACATTCAGCCAGTACCATATTTTTTTATGTAGTTTTACTAACGTTGAGAACATAGTTACACATTTATATCTGAGCTATTACAGCAGTTGTACAATATGTTGTTCCCAAACTTTTATTTTATCCATAGCACAGTATTGGTGTACCCATTGCATGAAACTTCCTGAAAGGTCAGTACAAGTACTATTACCTACTCTGTTTTAGTACCTGTATCTAGCCAAAATGGCTTTATTTGCTTGTGATGCAAGGCAGGATTGTGCTTTACTACAAACATGCCTGGGTGTAAATACTTAACCTAAATATCTATATAATGATACCACCTTAAGCTTCTGGGCATAGAGATAGCAATTGTCATAGTGTCGTACTCGGCCACTGTTACAAAACGGGATTCAAGATGCAGCCCTGACCCGTGTCAATATTACACTGGCAACAATCACTTTGAAGTTCTTACACTGGCTGATAACTTTGAATACATTGATGTGGAGGAAATAATAATGAACATTTTCCCATTAATACCCGTATTATTCATGTCTGACAGTATAAAAAAGCTTAGAATGTTTGTTCACAAATTATCCGTTTCTAGAGCACTCTGTAAATGTAATTTTAGACATGATGTCAACAAGCTTCTGGATGACCATGACCTTTCACCTGACCTTGACACGTGGTATTTAAGGTGCTTTTATTACAAGGTATACCATTGACTGTCTTCTCGTGAAATAAAGCAGCCTGCATAATAAGGTATGTGGTGACTTTTTTGGGATGCATATTTCAAAAGATTCAGAATGTCGCGTTGTACTCTTACCCTGTGTGGAATCAGCCATGCAGACTATAATTATTATCCAGAACAATGCCATAGTGCACCTGAAAATGAAAATAAAATATACACACATGTTTTTCTTACATACTCAATACGACTAATAAAAATTGAACAACACAAAATATGACTGTATGTGAACAGAGTCAGCCAATCATACAGGAACAAGCAGCTCCTGCGGGATCGACATGAACTCTACCTTATTCCCTGTATTGCGGTGTAGTTCACGACCGCCTCTGTTCCATGTGTATCTCGTAATGTCCTTGTTTTAAATGGTTTGCCACTCTTATACATTTTTCTGTTTTCAGTTTCAACTTCCTGCTGTCAGTGACTAGTATGGCGTGTGTGAGGTCTGGTCATCTGATTGGATCACCTTGTTCAGCACGGTAGGGAGCAATATACCAGTGATTTAAGAGGTGTAAAAATTATATGTAACCTATGTGCTTAGCTAAGGAGGAAACTTATCTTTGTTTCATAACTTCAAGAAAGAAACTAAATGAAAAGAAAACATATTCCACACACACTGACCTGCCCCCGGCACGCTGGTTATCGATTTATAATCGGGTAAATCCCATGAAGGAATTCCGCCTTTGTTGAGCTGTCTTCATATGGGTACCTCAGCCTGTTTTGGCAACTGGTCATTCACAAATGTCGGGTGATATTGTACAACAAGAGTGTTGGATATGTCAACAAAAACGGTTTTACAACTTATTTTGATTGATAAATGTTCAACTGTATGTCAGTCTGCTGCATCAAATGACAGCGAATACGGAAATTGTGAACTTGGCGATGCAGGTAGTTACAGTGGCTGCTAAGGGCCATCGCAATGACGCCCTGAGATATCCCCGCAACATCGCGACATGGCAACACAGCGATTTAATGATATGATCAAGCGATATTGCAACATGATATAGCGGTTTCGTGTTACAGCCGAAGGCGAAATAGCGATTACACTCAACAACATATTGATAACACGACATGACATTGTTATAGAACAAAACGATATTGCAATAACACGACACGGCATGTCAATAACATGACACGACATTATGATATGGTGATATAGCGATATTGAGACGCTATTACAAAAAATGGCAATAATGCGACATGCTCCCGTGACACGGCGATATCGCGATATGGCTAAATGGCAATACAGCGATATTGTGAAATGGCGAAAGAGAAACACCTTTATTAGTTATATCTGCATAGGCACATTTGTGTGTGTGCGTGTGTGATTGTATGTTTGTGTGTGTTGTGTGAGAGTGTGTGAGTGTGAATTGTCCAAGTTTGAGGTAGAAACAGTCACTTGCACGGGATTGCATGTAATAATAATTTATGTATCATATCATTGTGTTACTCGTTGTCTGAATCATCCAAACGTCGCGGCGACCAACGAATACATGTACATATGTGGTATATGTATGCACCAGTGTTTGTTTATGGTGTATGTATATGGTGCACGTATGAATCAGTGTATGCATCAATGTAAGTATATGGTGTATGTATGTGGTATATGTATGCACCATATGTATATGGTCTATATTTGTATCAGTGTATGTATATGATGTATGTATATGCATGCGTGTATGTACATTCTGTTTGATTGCATTAGTGTGTATGTGGTGTATGTATGCATGAGTGTATGTATGGTGTATGTATGTGGTGTATGTATGCATCAGTGTGTGTATGTGGTGTATGTGTGCATCAGTGTATTTATGTGGTGTATGTGTGTATCAGTGTGTGTATATGGTATATGATTGCATCAGTGTATGTATATGGTGTATGTATGCATCAGTGTGTGTGTGTGGTGTATGTATACATCAGTGTATGTATGTGGTGTCTTTATGCATCAGTGTATGTATGTGGTGGATGTATGCATCAGTGTATTATGTGGTGTATGTGTGCACCAGTGTATGTATCTGGTGTATGTGTCCATCAGTGTATGTATGTGGTGTATGTGTCCATCAGTGTATGTATGTGGTGTATGTGTGCATCAGTGTATCTATATGGTGTATGTGTGCATCATTGTAAGTATGTGGTGTATGTATGCACCAGTGTATGTATGTGGTGTATGGATGCATCAGTGTATGTATGTGTTGTATGTATGCACCAGTGTATGTATGTGGTGACGCACCATAAGAGATTAACTAAGTCAACGCAACATCAGAGATAAACTATGTCAACGCACAATCAGAGATTAACTGAGTCAACGCAACCATCATATATATCTGAGTCAGCGCACCATCAGAGATTAGCTATGTAAACGCACCATCAGAGATTAACTATGTCAACGCACAATCAGTGATTGTCAGTAACTGGGTCAACGCACCACAAGACGTTAATTATCTCAACGCACCATTCGAGATTAACTGAGTCAACGCTCCATCATATATTGACTATGTTAACGCTCTATCAGAGATTTTTTTTCTCACGCACCATCAGAGATTTGCTATGTCAACGCACCATCAGAGATTAACTATGTCAACGAACCATCATATATTGACTATGTCAACGCTCTATCAGAGATTTGCTTTGTCACGCACTATCAGAGATTAGCTATGTCAACGCACCATCAGAGATTAACTGAGTCAACGAACCATCATATATTGACTATGTCAACGCTCTTCAGAAATTTGCTTTGTCACGCGACATCAGAGATTAGCTCTGTCAACGCTCCATCAGAAGTTAACTATGTCAACGCACCATCAGAGATTAACTATGTCAACGCACCATCAGAGATTAACTATGTCAACGCTCTACCAGAGATTTGCTTTGTCACGCACTATCAGAGAGAAGCTATATCAACGCTCTATCTGAGATTAACTATGTCAACCCACATCAGAGATTAAGTATGTCAACGCACTATCTGATACTTCCATTGTCACGCAGCATGAGAGATTAACTATGTCAACGCACAATCAGAGATTAACCATGTCCACGCACCATCAGAGATTAACTACATCAACGCTCCATCAGATTTTAACTGAGTCAACGCACCGTCAGAGATTAACTACATCAACGCATCATCAGAGATTAACTATGTCAACGCACCATCAGAGATTAACTATGTCAACGCACCATCAGAGATTAACTATGTCACCGCACAATCAGAGATTAACTATGTCAACGCACAATCAGAGATTTACCTTGTCCACGCACCATCAGAGATTAACTACATCAACGCTCAATCAGAGATTTACTGAGTCAACGCACCGTCAGAAATTAACTATGTCAATAGACCATATGAGATTAATTATGTCAATGCACTTCATGAAATTAACTATATCACCCTGCCATCAGAGATTAACCTTGTCAATGCACCATCAGAGTATAACTATATCTACGCACCATCCGAGATTAACTATGTCAACGCAGAATCAGTGATTTAATATATAAACACACCATCCGAGATTTACTATGTCAACTTACCATCAGAGGCTAACTTGGTCAACGCACCACAAGACGTTAATTATCTCAACGCACTATCAGAGATGTCCTTTGTCACGCACCATCAAAAATTAACTATGTCAACGCATCATCAGCGATTAGCTATGTCATGCAACGCAACCATCATATATTAACTGAGTCAGCGCACCATCAGAGATTAACTATGTCAACGCACCATCAGAGATTAACTATGTCAAAGCACAATCAGTGATTGTCAGTAACTGGGTCAACGCACCACAAGACGTTAATTATCTCAACGCACTATCAGAGATTGGCTTTGTCACGAACCATCTGAGATTAACTATGTCAACGCACTATCAGAGATTAACAATGTCAAAGCACAATCAGTGATTGTCAGTAACTGGGTCAACGCACCACAAGACGTTAATTATCTCAACGCACTATCAGAGATTTCCTTTGTCACGAACCATCAAAGATTAACAATGTCAACGCATCATCAGCGATTAGCTATGTCATGCAACGCAACCATCATATATTAACTGAGTCAGCGCACCATCAGAGATTTGCTTTGTCACGCTCCTTCAGAGATTAACTGAGTCAACGCACCAACAGAGATCAACTTTGTCAACGCACAATCAATAATTAACTATGTCAACGCACCATCAGGTATTAACTAAGTCAACGCAGCATGAGAGATTAACTACGTCAACGCACTATCAGAGATGTGCTGTGTCAGCACACCATCAGAAAGAAACTATGCCAATGCACTATCTAAAATTAACTATGTCAACGCACTATTTGAAATTTACTTTGACAAGCACCATCAGAGATTAAATATATCAACGCACCTTCAGAGATTAACAATGTCAACGCACCATCAAAGGTTAACTTCGTCAACGCACCATCAGAGATTAACTGAGTCAACGCACCATCAGAGATTAACTATGTCAAAGCACAATCAGTGATTGTCAGTAACTGGGTCAACGCACCACAAGACGTTAATTATCTCAACGCACTATCAGAGATTGGCTTTGTCACGAACCATCAGAGATTAACTATGTCAACGCACCATCAGAGATTAACTATGTCAAAGCACAATCAGTGATTGTCAGTAACTGGGTCAACGCACCACAAGACGCTAATTATCTCAACGCACTATCAGAGATTTCCTTTGTCACGAACCATCAAAGATTAACTATGTCAGCGCACCATCAGAGATTTACTATGTCAACGCACCATTAGAGATTTGCTTTGTCACGCTCCTTCAGAGATTAACTGAGTCAACGCACTAACAGAGATCAACTTTGTCAACGTACAATCAGATATTAACTATGTCAACGCACCATCAGATATTAACTAAGTCAACGCATCATGAGAGATTAACTATGTCAACGCACTATCAGAGATGTGCTGTGTCAGCACACCATCAGAAAGAAACTATGCCAATGCACTATCTAAAATTAACTATGTCAACGCACTATTTGAAAATTACTTTGACAAGCACCATCAGAGATTAAATACATCAACGCACCTTCAGAGATTAACAATGTCAACGCACCATCAAAGGTTAACTTCGTCAACGCACCATCAGAGATTAACTGAGCCAACGCACCACAAGACGTTAATTATTCTCAACGCACTATCAGAGATTTCCTTTGTCACGAACCATCAAAGATTAACAATGTCAACGCATCATCAGCGATTAGCTATGTCATGCAACGCAACCATCATATATTAACTGAGTCAGCGCACCATCAGAGATTTGCTTTGTCACGCTCCTTCAGAGATTAACTGAGTCAACGCACCATCAGATATAAATTATCTCAACGCACTA